TCTCTCTCTCTCTCTCTCTCTCTCTCTCTCTCTCTCTCTCTCTCTCTGTATTTATGTGTATTTAAAAAATGATATATAAGTGGAAAGACATGAAGGAAAAAGAAGTTTGGGTAAATCTATAAAACCGCCACAATTTATGAGAGTTTAAAAGGCAATTTCTTTTAAAGGGGCAAATTCCTAATTTCCCACATAAAAGTATGGGAATTGAATGGTAAATCCTTCTCCACCGACAAGCCCCCTGAAAGAGGCATGAAAAAGAGTTACTGTTCCCGTCCATTCATGCTTCCTGAAAGCCATGGATGTGACACTCACTGCCCCGGAGCACACAGCCCGTGGTTTCAAAGCTGCCGGGTGACTTCTCAGAAATGATCTATTGTGGCGCTTTGTTTCGTCCGGGTCACCCTCGTTTTGTTCTGCGCGGGCTGTATTACTCTTCTGCCTCTGCCATTAATCCACCCTGTCTACTCTTCTCTATTCAGAGGCACATTTCACTCCTCGTCCTGCCCAGAGCGGGGATGAAGTGGCTGAGAAAGGCCTAGCGTGTCTGTGCGGCTGCTGAGAGCGAGCGACTGAAGAAGAAAGGATGAAAAAAGGGGGATGCAGGCTGCCGGGGCTTACCTGGAGAGCGAGGGTGTTCAGCAGAAAAAGAGGGCCAGCAGCCTATGAGGGGTAGCCAGCGTGGAAATGGGAGTGTTCAGCCATTTAAGTGGGCTCGAGGTACCCAGCTTTTGAGTCTCTGGGGATGGGCATCCTGGCGCAGTCCTCATGGGAGATTGCCCTTATTTTTCAGCTTTGGTTTGATCTACTCACTCACAGTCAGGCAAATACAGACTGTGTAGCTCAAGGGTTGGCAGGCTGGAATGAACGGCAAAAGATACAACAATGATTTCCAAAGGAAAAAGATTAAGAAGCAAAAATATTAAACCTCAAACCTCAAACCTGTCCTTTGGTTAGTAGCTCAGATTGTGTTTGCATCCTCCTTTGGGAACTTCATTCTATTTGACTTTACGCCTGCCTTCTGGGTCACGTACTTTTAATATTGTTTAATATGGTTGGGAGGGACTATCCAGAGGTCTCACAGGGTCCCATGATAACTACATTAAACCATGCCGACATATCAGTAGATCTGATGTTTCTCCTGTACCCCATGCACAGGGGTTGCAGGTTTTTGTCTCTTAGATCATACAGAGACTCCAGACAATGGCACCCATGGGCTAAGGAGAGGCCTCTGAAGGCCTCCTGTTAGTCATTTGATTTCCTTTTCAGCTAGTCCAGTGGCTTCCCTCATTTACCCGGGCCTGGGCTGCTCAGCTCTGATATCCTGAAGACAAGAAGCAGCTACCATCAGCACAGACTGACCCTGAGACCTATTTGCTCTCCAGGGATGAGCAGTAGGCAAAAACGACAAAGGGGAACAGTGGGGTCTCAACATTAAGCTGACTAATGACTCAGTTTGCATAGTTGGCTAAATTTTCACTAAAGTGTGAATTTAAATTAACATCTAAGGTTTTTAATGTTGCAGCGGTTAGGGAGATGGCTCTGTGAAAAGGAACACAAGCTTGCCAAGTGTGAGTCCTGAGTTCGAATCCCTTAAAAAAAAACAGCACCCACTTAAAAAGTTGGTGTCTGACTCGGAGACAGACTCTGACTGATGGCAAGAAGGTGGAGAGCTACACAGGCGATACCAGACATCTTCTGTGGTCTCCATTTGTGTTCATATGGGCACACATGCTGGCTTACACACATCAATGCAATATACACCACACACACACACACACACACACACACACACACACACCATAGATGAAAGTTGCACCAACTTGAAGAAAATAAAAGGAACCATTAACCTCAGTGTCCACTCTCATTTGAGATTTGTGCCCTCAGTTGGACAAATGGCCTACTTGCTGGGTCTCCAAGTTCATCACAGAGAGGGAAGATCTGTGGTTTTACTTCAGTGACTGCTAAACATGGAAAGGTTTCAGAGATATGGCAAGTGCTTGCTCATCACTACCGTAGGGTCTTAGCCCAGAGTTGCTGATTCGGGAGGACCGGGTGGGGTTGAAGACCCTGCATGTCTAACCAGCCCCCAGAGCTGCTGATCGTCCAGAATTACACTGTGCCTGTGCCGTTGTTTCTCTGGGAACTCTAGAGCCCCATCTGGCTAGACAACTCAATTTTTCCTCGAG